TATCGTGGCAACGGGTGCTCCGCTACTGTGTGACGGTGTGCCGGGATTCATTGTGTGCTTGCCTTTCTGGCTGCTGATTGGTGGAGGGGATGATGGAGGACAGATGGTAGTCACGAAGGTTACCGACAAGTACCGAACCACGCCGAATCTGATTCATGCTTGCCTCGAAAGATGGTGTATCCATTTAATTGAAAAATATTGAAAATTGCTATTTATATTATGTTTAAAATTTCATTATTTATTTAGTGAGTTCTCTCTAAAGAAAGGGGCAATTTTCAGTTTTAACGAAAAATAAATTGTATTTTTTGTTAAAATTAGTTTATTAACGAAATTTTCAGTCTTTCTTTTTATAAATGTAGGTATTTACAATTTCAGTTATTTGTATGTACTGTACACTTTGTTTTTGTATTCATAATCAAGTTTCAAAGATGTATTTTAACCTAGGTTAATGAATAATACTATGTTCTTTGTATTTTTAACCCCATTCTCTGAAAGTTGAAGTATTTGCTAAGCTTTCTGGTGTAATAGGCCATAGAGAAGGAGGTAACATAGAGTAATCACGTAGTTCTAATGGTCTGTGCCATGCAGGATAATTAAACTCCTCTGTACTATTTGCACTTGTGGCATTCTCAAAATATTCTTTAATGATATCATCAGGATTTGGCCAGCCATTTTCAGGTGTTACATTTAACTTTGATTGGTTCTTCATAGCAACTGTAAATAAAAATTAAATGAATGTATAGTGCAATATTCTTTTTTTATTCTCAACCACTACAATTATTACCAAGTCTTTGAAGTTCCCACATCATAGGAGGAGTATAATGAGAAAATCTGCAACCAAGGCCAAATGCACAATCACCAACAGATAAATACCATTTGCATGGTATTTTTGTACATTCTTCTTTTAATATAGCTTCCGGATCTATAAAAATTGTTAAATAAAATCATGTCCCCCACAGTAGCATACAAAAGCGTCATAATTTTGAGGTTATGGTCGTAGCGCATTGAATTTCATAGCTGTTTAAAATATTTCATAAATAAACTATCGTTAAATCGTCACCTTTGAACATATTATAATGATCCGCGCGATTTTTCGCATGTTGTAAACTCGAAAGATGTTTCTTTCTAGCTTCTGGATCATCCTTAAATGATCTGTCACAATAAGCGCAATAATATCTTTTCCCCATGATCAGTAAAACTTTATCACAGTTAAACAAAGAAACACTGTCTTTACTATAACATCAAATTTCTCGCGTAGATCGCAAAATAATAATAACAGGGAATAACTTGTCAAACGCACGTGAACAATGTAAGCATTGATTTCAGAGCGACCGAAGCGACATCTAGTGTGTGTACAGTTGAAGGAAATAGAAGGTATTTAAAATACGACTATCGAACGTGCTAAAAAGCTTCGTTCAATTTGTAACATTTTAATTAAAGAAAAAGATTTATTATTTATCTTAATTGTTCAAACTTTGTACATATTACATTGCCGCTATTAATAATAATCGGTTGAGAACAGAAAAAAATCACTAATCCAAAACAATTAGTTCTTCAATTAAAGGTGTATTTCTATTAATTCTTCACAACATGAGTCGGAATCGTTTTTTTTTTTTTTTTTTTTTTTTTTTTTTTTTTTTTTTTTTTTTTTTTTTTTGTACACTTAATGGGTATTTTATTTTAAACAAACAGATTACATATACGATACTGCTCGTTTAAACGTTACAATTGTTTTGTTACATCCTTAGAATACAATTTACCGCAACGTCTTGTGCGTTACTAATCTATATCTGTGTGGTAACGTCACGTACCGAAGAAAATGCCTATAATTTTATTATAACAACCTCCGCCATTAATTTCACTCTTTGTAATTGCTAAACCGGTGCGCAGGCGGGACACATCTTTTGCAACTCTACGAAAAGCTTGAAAATATTTTAAATATCTATTAATCGTATCGTCGTTTCTTCGATAGGTACGAATATATTTCCCCGTTAAACAACAATTTTGCTCACAGCAAAATAAAATCGTTTAATTTCATTTTTTCCCCATCTTACACATTTACCTCCAAGAGACGCCATCTTGGAAATATAAGAATTTTCGCGTTTCCACCATTTCACATCTGTTCAATGCCCCAAATTTCAATTTTGCACCATACATTCACTCTCTACTTAAAAAAATATCAGGTGTTACTTGTTTTCTTTGGTTTACAACGTGTCGTTTGAAAAAAAAAACAACAAAAAAACAACTGATTCCCCTTTTGTAAACGAACGATAATCCGTTTTGCGAAAATATAAAGCCGATCCCCACTAGACGGCAATGATAAAGTGCAGGCTGTCGTATCGTGTCGTTGACGGAGAGATCATAAATATTTCGATATCTGACAATATTAATAATATTATACACATATAATATATATATTAGATCCTTTTCTATTAGAGATTCTTTTTTTTTTTTAGCGTGTCGTTTATCAGCCGAGACTCGACGTGTCGCAGTGTGAATCGGCTTTCAATATCGACATTGTTTTCTTCGTTTATTAAGTTTGCCTTCTTCATTTTCTTCGCGAATCGGTTAAAATTTGAAAAAAAATTACACGAATGGCGCGATTCAAGATGTTCGATTCATTTCCTTCTCGATTAGTTCGTCGACACTTTCATAGACATTTTCAACGATAGCAATATCTTCGTCAGCTTTCTACAAGCGATAAGTGGTAACCTATGAGGTAACGTGAAAATGCAAGAGAATTGGAATCGAGAAAGCACGAACGATATTTAGAAACATTGCATGTGTGTTAGTCACACGCGAGAAAAATCGAGAAAATCGTGGTTTTGTTTAAGCTTGCAATTCTTTTTCGTCGATCATCAGGTTTCAATAAGGGTGAAAATAACGTGTATATCGATGTTGAAGAAGAGAAGAGTCTGAATATTTTGACAAATTAAAACTTCTAAGACGTTTCGAAAAATATTTTCAACATGCACAATGACAACTTCAAGGATCTTCTTTTTTTTTCGTTATTATCCTTTGTATCGATAAATCAACTAGTGATCTTAGTATCGGTATTATTCAAGTTGGAAAATGATTTATAGTGAAGAAAGAATTTCGGTGTGATTTGTCCCTCAAAAATGAAACGTCACTTACAATATAACAGCTGTATACGATATAATATACTGATTAATATTCGAGATTTTTTTTTTCTTTTCTTCACAATGTGCTCTTTAGTATGAGAATACTGTACAGTATCCAGCTCTTCGTGGATTTTTTCCATTTCTCCGAATCACATTTAAACTTTCTTATTTTGCCACATTACAGCTTTAAAAGTCCGCTCCTCGCGATTATAACAATTCTTTTTATTCGTTATTTCGTCACGTAAAGATTATTACCGTTTCATGGTTAATCGAAAACAAGTGCAAAACTTTGTATAACACTTCTTTCTTTCTTTTCTTTTCTTTTTTTTTTTTTTTTTTTCAAAAAATATTCCAATCGTGCACACGTATACACGTATAGTTGCGTTGTTTCTCTTTCCGAACGTACAATCGTGTTTTTCTCTTCTTTCCTTTTTTTTTCGGTGCATAGTATTTGATGAAAACACATCGTGATACGTGACAACGCATGATAAAGATCGGTGACGCATATCAAAACTATTTACAGGAGAAATAAACGACAACGAAAGTCAACAGTTAGGTCGTTACAGGGACTGATAAAATTGATAACAGCTCTTGCTGCACGTTTAATGGTATCACGGTTGACCCAGTACATCATCAATTATGCAATAACTCCGGAATAGGAGTGAAATGCATAATGAAGCCGCTCGATAGTTTCTACAAAGGATTATTTCTTTATTCGAACTCTTCGATAATTGTGTGCAATCTGTGAATTATGTTTACATAGAATTTAAACAATGTTTACATAGAGTAAAATTACAAAATTTCAAGTTTCTGAATTGGTTTTCTTTTTTCTCAATAGAGGGATCGTAATACATTTATCTTCGAAGGAATATCTCGTTAAACGTTTCATATAATAAATATCACTTCTTCTTCTTTTTTTTTTTTCATATAAATACATAATAACGTTATATTGCTGCAAGTTTATATTCGGCAATGAAATACTTTGCTCAAAATAGTTGAAGATCTCTGAACAATTCTACTAGGAAGAAAAATTCCCTATGTTTCTAGTAAGAATATTCTCATTCGTAGGATTTAATATTTATACGGTGAAATTTCTAAAATATCGGATAACATTTGCTAAAGGATAACTAAATTAGACGGTGAATCTTTGAATTATTTTGAGCATATTATTTAACTGTTATATATGTAGCGTTACGTTGGTATGCGTGGAGAGAAAAAAAATATCCTTCTTCGAACAAATTATCACGTAGTTGTCGATATTTTGATTTTTTTTCTGTTAGTCTTTTCAACTGTGCCGAGTAGGTCGAAAATAAGAAAAATCAGAAAATTGAAACAAAGAACACACAATCAGACGAAAAAAGATGAATAAAAAGCGGCGTGACGTTTTTAGGCCTGCTAAAAACAACGTATTTTACTTTTCCATCGACCGACTCGACCGAAATAAAACCGAATCCAAAAAAAAAAAAGAGAAAAAAAGAGGACCAAACAACGGAACTAAACGAGTATAGAGATTGATACGAAACGCGCACCCGTTATTTGGCAGTTCGACCAATGACGTCGAAACATTTTTGTTTTCGAATTTATTGCACTTAAGGGATCGCAAAAGTAGTGTTCACATGTGTTTGTATGTGTATGTGTTTTTTTAATGTGTGTGATCTAACGAGTAAAAATATCTTGTATATCTGGTCGTTGAAAAATAAGTCACGATACCAATATGGCGGAATTGACATCCTTAACATTAGTACGATGCAACTTCGACGACACGTCTATCGATTAAACAATGTTGTTTGTTCAGGTGTATGCGCCCTCTTACTAGGAGTAACTTGCTCTCGGCACACAACGAATACTTCTATCGTCTTTGTAATTGTACCATTATACATATTACATATGTAATTCTTTGTATCGGGGTTAGACTTACGGTTTAAGCGTTACAATAAGACTCGACGAATTTAATCGATTTCTTTGTATTTTGTTTTTTTTTTTTCTATGGCACGGAATTGGAATTGTCGATGTGGTGCGATTAGTATACAAGCATACATTGCAAAAAATTTGAAAAAAAACGCGTTCGACTTTCGTACGATTATCAAATGTTGCAACTGCTACTATATTTCGTTCCGTATCTTTTTCTTGATTCAATTCTCACACCCAGAGCTCGAAGGAAACACAATTCTACGTTTATTTCTTGGCAAAAGTTGACCAAAACTTAAACAGCACGGATCATTTCTCTTTCGACATATATCGTAGAGGTTATGTTTCGAAGTAACACACGTTTTCAATTTTACAGTGGTTTCTTTTGGTTTATGAGATACGAGAATTTGTAAACTCCACTTATTTCGAAATTCGAGCCAAATGCAAACCCCAACTCTAACCTAATTCTGATTTCAAATGAAAATTGGGTTATGTTAGGTTAGGTTAAAATTTCTTCAGAGGGCGTGGCCAACGTGTTCACTTCACATAAAAAATCTTGCAAATATATATCAAGATTAAGGTCACAGAAACGAAATTTCCTTTTCTAACAATATTTTAATAATATTTCAAAATGGCGTATCTCAATCACCAACAGAAAACCCCGCGAAGTTCAAATCGTGTTTTACTTAAAAATGCATTCTCTACAATATAATGTCAAAATAAAAAAAAAAAAAAAAAAAAAAAAAAAAAAAAAAAAAAATGAACCGTGCTCTCTAAGCTTTTATCAACGTTTACCCTTTATTTTTTCAAAAGATCGAACCTACTTGGTGATTCCCCGTGTCGCGCGGTCGCCAGATATTTCAATTAGTCCGTAGAAATTTCGCCAGCGTTGTTTTTCGTTGGCTGGTGAATTCGCGTGTACGGTACATTAACAGGGACGTTCGATACGCGAGATGGCCGGGTCGTCGAGTCTCGACGGGGCGGCGGTGTTCGTACACAGAAATTATACCAGGGAAGAGAAATAGAATTCACCGGTGAAACACGCGAAACACTGTGTCACGTGCAATCTTGCATCGAAATCTTCAACCTCGTGCGCAACCCTCGACGATACATCGACTGTAGCAATACTACTACTACCACCACCACTACTACTCCTAACTCGCAATATAATCCATTCTGCATTTATACGAGCATCGATAAATTTCGCATTAACGCAACGGGCCACGAATTTATCGCTCGTTTTCCAGCGTTCATCTTTGAAACGCAGGGAACTCTCGCCCCGCGAGTTCGTTTGATTAAACGAAAACTTTCGCACCGAATATGCTGGCCGGCCGATTAACATCGATCCGCGTAATTGGATCTGCTGGGGAAAACGCGTTCACCCGTTGCCGTTTCCTTCCGAATTTATGAAAAGACTGCTGCTACCAGCTCCGGCTATACTATACACTCTCCAAGAGCAGCCAATTAATTCTACCTTCTTTATTTTTCGTCTAGATCTTTTTCGTTTCCAACTCGTACAGCCTCCTTCGAGGAAAATTTCCCTCGTTCGTGCTTCACCGCGATTCGTTTCGATGTAACATTGCACGATCTTGTCGAATGTTGTAAGTAAGTAAGTAAGTAATAAGCAAAGTGTTTTCTTTTTTTTTTTAGTTGTACAAGTTTGGTAAATTTTTGAATTTTTTTTTTTTGGTTCGATAATTCTGTTTCGTACTTTAAGACGAACGAAGTGTGTCCCATTTTCTACGAACAATACCGATTTTCGTCGACGTCGACGATCAAACGTGTCTACATTGTGCGTTTGCGTGTGTTTGTGTAGTGTGTGTGTGTGTATACTTTGAGATGTTTAATCGATAAGCATTCTAATTTAAAATAGACGTGTACGGTCAAATGTGAATTGGCATCGAAGTACGAATTTTTAAGGATACAAAGTTGAAATTGTATTTCGTAGAATCGGGAAAAGCAGTGTCTAATTTTTTTGTCGTTTTCTTTTTCTTTTTCTTTTAATAGATATACTCTCGAGAGGACAAAATATACGTGTAAGTACAATTCGAATTTTTGAAAATTCTTCCTCGAACAAGGACTCTATCATCCCACTGTGTCTTCGGAAAAAGTTTACTGCGAGCTTCTAAACTCGCCATTACGTCAATAGAAATCACGGCGGCGGAATCTACGATTCCGTGTAAATCGCGACGCGCAGATCCGTAAAGATAAAAATGCCATGAAATTTCGAGGGATCGGTGAATAGGATATTTTCGCATGCGATCGTACAAAGCGGACTCGACGACAAACGAAAAAGCAAAGACGAAGCCCGGTTTCCTGCTATTACGGTTATTATTGTTTTTTTTTCTTTTTTTTACTTTTTTCTCGATCGTTCAAATTCGACTTGCTGTCTCTTATATTCATGGTTTGTTTGTTGGTTTGTGTTTTTTTTTTCTTCTTTTTTTTGGTTTTATTTCGGGCATACTATCGACGATTCGACTTTTAAAAGATCAGCTCCACCACTGTCATCCCCTTTTTATTTCTTTGGCTCTTCGTTGTGCGGAGGATTCGACACTTCTTGGCGGACCTTGTGACCCCGGAAGCTCGCTTGGATTTTCGTCGCCGCCTTGTGTAGATCAGGGTCCGTGAGATCGATATCCCCGAGCTCGTTCAGGGCTTTCTTTGCCTGAAACAATAGATTGCAACGTTCACGTGTAGATTTGTTATTTTTAACAGCGGCGGTGTTTGTTGTGATAGCGTGTGTTGCTTTGTTAAGCAATGAAAGCAGTAAGTATCTGTTCAGTGAAATTATTTTCAAAATTATTTCCTAGGTGAAAGGTAGCTATTTTGTTTGAAAGAAAGTGTTGCAAAAGTTATGATTAAATAATTGGTATTTTAACGTTCTCTTTACTATATTTGATTGAAAGTACTTGATAATTGCAAATTATCCGCAGTAATCACCAATTTGTAAAATTACTTTCTAAGCGAAAGGTAGAATTCTACTCTGTTTGAAAGAATATATTGAAAATAAACGAGTTATGATTAAATAATTAGTTTACTTTAATGTTTATTGCACTTCACTATATTTGAGTGAAAGTAGTCTTAAATCTATTTTCCAAATAAGTGACAATCATTTCATCTAAATGAAACAAATGACGATTAGTTTCCTTCTCATTGAAAAGTGGGAAAAATTCAGTAGAACAATACGCGATAACTCATCCCATGCAATACTGAACTTGGCTTATTATAGCAACACTAAATTCTGTTTTCTTTTCCAGAGCATTTAAATATACATAATTTTGTGAATTATTTGCAATTATGAAAGAACTTAATATAAAGTCTAAGTCAGAATATTGAAATAATTATTTCATAGTACCCAATATTTAAATAACAATATTCTGACTTGGACTTTATATTAAATTTTTCCATAAATGCAAATGATTCACCAAAAGCATTAAAAAATTTAACATAAACTTAATACAAAGTCCTAGTTAGAATTATTATGACTATTATTTTATTTAAATAATAATAACAAATGAACGAAGTTGAAAAAGTTGACAATAACAAATGATTTTCAAAAATCATGCAATTTTTGAATATTTTAGGAAAGAAAACACAATTCAGCGTTGCTAGAACAATTTCAGTATCCCATAGGATGAGTTATCGTATATTGTACTACTGAATTCTTGCCTCTCGTTCAACCTGTCGTAAAATTCGAGGAAAGCATTTAGCTGGTTGAAAAATTTTTGACGACCAAAAAATCCTCTCTTTAAGCCACCCTTTAAACTCATTATTCTGAAAAAGTAGTTCTTCTTCAAAGCGGGAGGGTTTTAAATAAGAATTTCACCTTCAAAGTGAGGGAGGCGAGAATTTAAATTCCTTTTAAGTTAAAAAAAAATTGCAATTTTCTATAAAAGTCCCTTCCATGTTAAATTTCCATATAGCAAGTTAACGCTTTCCTGCGTAAATTTGAGTGTTCGTTATTTTCGAATAATTCGTTCATAAAATGCGGTTTAAAAATTTAAAAAGCGAAAGAAAACTAAGGCAATTATTACACCAAAGTAAATGCAACTTCGAAACTACTAATTAAAAGATCAATTTTCCTTCGAGTTTTCAAATATCACTTATCTTTATAATTACTTGCACTGTTATCAAATTACCACAAAAAGGAAACGTAGTCTTTATTGTAATTATTATATTCGAGAACTGTGTAAAGACTTAGTGATACGATCGAAATTAACGAACGGAACAAGACAAATTTCGTTTCCATTATTTTCTCATTAACTCATTTCCACTCTTGTATTTTTCAGTTTTTTATTTACTTATATTTATCTCTATAGCAGCTCCTTCTCGAGCTCTACACATTCGTAATACCAGTTGGTTATCGAAATTGCAGCAGAATCAGAGGTTGTTGAGAGAATTCACAGAGAAAGGTTCGCGATTTTTCGAGAATTGTTCGAGAAAAATCGGGGGAAAAAAAAACACATAAATGTACAAAATATTATTCAATGCAAAATGACACAAAATTAGTAAGATAATACAAACAATACACTTCACAATATGTATCGTCATCTTAACCCTTTCACCGCTGTTGGCGCTCTGAGAGTGCGCTCTAACTGTACCCTTGGCGCCTATAGGCGGTTTCAATATTTACTCGCGCTGCGACCTTGGTGCCTATAGGCGCTTTGGAAATTTCCTCGCGCAAATTTAATCCTCAACTATTGTGCTACGTGTACTTCCACCTGAACTGTTTAAAACGATCAAATTAGAAATTGTAAATTTAAAAATTTTTTAAATTTTAATCTTCAAAATTAAAAAATTTTAATTTCTTTTATTTTTCAAATTTCAACCTTAATTTTTAATTTTCAAATTTTAATTTACAACTTTTAGTTTTAAAGTTTTTAAACTTCACAAGTTAAAAGAATTGTAATTTTCAAATTTTATAAAATATTAAAAAGTC